CATAGCCCATCAACATCTGGAATAGGGATGATATGTGAAGTCAATGACTATATTATCTGGTAATATAGTATTACGTAAATAGTCATTCTTTCTTTTCAACGCTGCTACTGTCACTAGTGTGGATCGTTTACCACAATGCACCACAAGGAGAAACAATAAGTCAACCATATATATTACACGTATAAGGTTACTCGTATTTTAAAATAAATGGACACCAGTGGCACTAGTTATCCAGACCAGGTACGAGTGGGGTGTATAATAAATTATCATAGACTCTATCAAGTCTATAAATAAATTATTGAAATAAGGGTTTTTTGAACGGTGTTGTAAGGAAATCGTCCGTAAATGCGGATCGGTACTTCAAATCAGTTGAGTCACGTTTATTTCTATTGCACCATTGCGACTAATATAAACATAGGTCACCTATTTTTCAAAACAACGTGCTTCACAAAGAGGTTTCAGGATAATTTCACGTCACAATAAAGTTACATTTCTTATTTATCAACAAAGCGTTTTCAATACAAAAAAATATGTGCCACTATCAGAAAAAAAAAACACCACCACGCAGAACACGAACGAACTGCAGGAAATGTTGGTGAAAGTACATGAGAATTTTAAGTTTGTCACGCAGAAACCATTTCAATCTAAGAATGCAAAATTTTGCAAAGCCAATTAATTATTCGTGCGTTTAAGATAATGAAGATGTCTGGCATAGTATTAAAACCTCTTTCGGTTGAATGCTGCAATTTATTTGATTCTTACTACTTAGTATAACTAATATTGTTCTGCCTAGTGACAAAGCGTTAACAGGTTTTTTGAGATATTTACTATTTTGTAAATGACGAACGGTTGCGCAGCCAATCACAGTTTTTGCTTTGAAACACTATGCTTTCATCCAATCATGTCATTTTTTGTCACATAACGCCAACACAGGCGACGCTGAATGCACCAGACAGTGGGTGTGCCGCCGTCTTACGGTGTCCATGCATTTTGGCGTCACATAATGACGTTCAGTGAACATTTTTTTTTTATTTTGGCGCCAAAGAAGCGATTAGTTATTTATTACTAAATGATACATCATTTTCGTATTTTGTATTACCAACTTGAGCGGCAGGCGCAATGAGCTGCCAGTGACTATTACTTTTATTTTACGATTAAATAATTGCTTTCACTTGGTCGTCATTTGATCTGTACAAATTACCGTATCGAAAGTAATGAATTATGAAATAATGACCAATTTTTTCAAAATTTTCGGATTGATATCAAATGTTCCATGTTTGGTATGTGATGGACACATTTCCTGCAAATATAAAGATACTACATTCAAAAATAATTATAACTTCGAAAAATACCTGGATGATATAAAAAACAAACAAAAATACACAGAGTAGCAGTAACCAAATTCCATATTTCAGCCCACTTCTTGCCAATTAAAACAGGCCGTCACAGCGGAATAAATAAATTGACATGGTATGTAACAACAAGTGTGACTCTAATGACGTGGGTGATGAAAAACATTGCATTTTTTATTGTAAACATAACTGTTTGTCAGAACACAGGAACAAATTCCTATCATGATGCACTATTTATATACTCACCTGATTACCAAATCTTGCCAACTGAAAAATTGTTTATCGGGATTTTCTCAAGTGTAGACAAATATGTTTAGAGCATTTTTGATAATTTTGATAAATTATTTTAGATGAGTTGTGTTATTTTATGTTTCTTATATTGGACTTTACTCAAGCATTGTTCAGTTTTGTGTATCCCCCCTGTGTATCCAAATAAAATGTTCTATCCTAT